AAATAGAACTAAAACGATACATCTAAGGCTACGTGTAAGCTCAAAGAAATAGAACTTCGGTAACTACATTGTACCCCCGAGTGCCCGCCGCACGTGTGCGCGCGCTGCTCGCTCGCGCGCTGCTCGCGCGCGTCCTTTTTCTGCAAGTCCGTTGCTTCGAGCGCGTCGGCTCAGCTGGGCTCGACAGCGTCCAAACGCGCAGTGCACGCTACCGCCACTATTGGCTGGCAGAGGCTCCGGCCCAGCTGGGCTCGACAGCGTCCAATGCGCAGTGCACGCGACCGCCACCGGCTCCCCATTGACCTGGTAGAGGCTCGAGCTAGTTGCCACGGGGCCCGGGGGCGAGCAGTTTTGCCAACCGAGGGCACCCAGCTGCTCCCGACCGAGGTAGCAGGTGCAGCGGCAGGGCCACGCGCGAGTGTGTGCCTCGTCGGCTTGTGCATTGTCCTTACCACCGGCTTCTTGCTGGTGGCTGATCTTGGCAGTGTTCCGAGCATGTTGCACGATGCCGTCGCCAGCTTGCTCGGCGCGCTCCTGCCACTCAACCTTTCGCCAACACCGCCGCCGCCGTCGCCGCCACCGCCACCGCCACCGCCACGGCCCTCCGTTGCGCCCAGCCCACTGCGCTCGCCATCGCCGCCGCCGCCACGTCCACCCTCACCGCCGCCTGCTCCGCTTCCGCCGCCGCCGTTCCCCGTCCCCTCACCCCTTGCACCGCCTCCAACCTGGACGACCCATCCCCATCTAAACTGCTGGTGGGATGGGCACGGCGCGGACGAGGTTGACTCGCCTGCGGGGAGCCACGTCGCCGGCGTCTTGTCGATGCACGCCTGCCAGTCCGCCTGTCTCGCCTCGCCCATCTGCGAGGGCGTCGTCGTGCCCGCCAACGCGGATTCGCTGCGATGCTATCGCAAAACACGCATCAACATCGATGTGTGTGATGCGTCGGACGCCTTTCACCTCTACACGGTCACACGCTACTGGCCGCCCGCCCCCCCTTCGCCGCCGCCGCCGCCGCTGCCTGCTAGCGTTGCGGCGATCAACGAGCGCTTCCTCAGCGGCCACCCCGTCGCGACCGTGCGCGGCTGCGGCGTGCTGGTGCACCAATCGGACGCGCAGCAGGGGCGATGGCCGTGGGAGGCGACGTGGGGCCGACTGGCAGCTTCGCTCATCAATGCTGAGGCGCCCTTCATGTTTTCGACGAGCGCGATTGGCATCGTGCTCTCTCCCGAGGTGGTGGAGGAGGAAGGTATCATCTACTGCTCGTACCCAAACGACGGCAACTCGATGAACAGCGGCAATTGGGGCTGCGACGGCGCCACTGCCTGGGGCGCAGAGGGGCTGCGGCTCGCGCTGTCGGAGCAAGCGCGGCGAGGGCGCGACGAGTCGTGCCTATGGGGTGCGCCAACGGCGGAGGACCGTTCCCACTGCCGGTACAACGAGGTCGTGCTGTGGGGCGAGAAGTTCTTGCAGCAGCTGCCACGGATCGTCGAGGCCTTCTTCTACCCGATCAGGGGCCGCGTCGACTCGCGCGAGGGCGACGCCGAGAGCGCGCGAGCGGCCCGCCGCGCGTTCCTCGATCAGTTTGGGCTGCGTGACACCGACTTCACTCGCCTGCTCACGTTTGACGTGGCGGCAGCGAGGCGAGGGACAGCTCCATGGGCGGTGGCGCCTCTGCACTGACCGCGGCGGGGGTGCGCACATCCCTCTTTCTTTTTGAAAGCAATTTAAATGCTTAGACGACGGCTTCCTAGGCCGTCGTCCTCGCCACAAAAGCCACCGTCCTCCGACACCCGCCCCACCCCTCCCCAGCTCCCCACCTCCTTGCTAAAAGAATTTTTACAACAAAACACCGTGCCGCCCGAGGCGTTGCCCATCCCCGTTAGCCGGTGCGCATCCGCGCCGCCTTCGCCTTGCCGTTGCCCTTGCTGCCAGACGAGCTCGACGATTCGGCCTTGACCTCCGGCTCCATGCGTGCCTTGCCCTTGGTGGAGACGCCGTCGCCGTCGGAAACGGAGGCGACCTTCTGCGCGAACTCGGCGTCGAAGCGAGTAAAGCGCAGCTCGACGAGCGTGCGCCGCGGCGCCTTTTTGTGCTGCACGAGCGTCGCAAAGGCGGTGACGCGCGCCGGGCTGAAGTGGCCCACGTAAATGGCCAAGTCACCGCCCTTACGATTCTGCTTGTCAGATACCCAGAATACTGGCACGAGCTGCTGCGGGCTCGTGTTCGGGTTCATTAGCTGCGCCGACTTGTTGCGCTGGGTGCCGTTGCTAACCCAAAACTCGAGCACGTCGGTAATCGAGGGTGAAAGGTCGTTGAACTCCTCGTTTAGGACCAGGTGCGAGACCACGCCATCCTTGGTGCAAATCGCGCCCTGAATGGCGGCCGAGCGCAGGCCGAGCGCCCCCGCGTGGCGGCCGAGGCATTCGCGCGTGATGCCCTTCTGGCCACCCGCGCTGCCCAATAGCAGCTCACTCTGTGCATTGGTCCGCGTGCCGAGGTCGCGCGGCTTGGCGGGCACCGGCCCAAGCGCGGCCGGCGCGGCCGGCGCCGCGGCGCCGCTTGATGCGGCCGCAGCTGGTGCGGCCGGCGCGCCAGAGCCGCTTGAGGCGGCCGGTGCAGCCGGCACGGCCGGCGCGCCGGCACCGTTTGAGGTGGCCGGCGCTGGGACCACGCTGCCTCTCGAGCTTCCTGAGGTGATGGAGGCCGGTCCGCCCTCGCCGGCGTCGCCTGCACCCTCGCCTCGCTGGCTTTTACTGGCGCGCGGGCGAACAGCCCCCACCTTGCCTTTCTTGGCAGCCTCAGCCGGCGCGTCTGAGCGTGCACGCTTGGAGGCAGAAGCGGCCGCGGGCACGGGAGCAGATGCCGCAGCCGCAGGTGCAGCGGAGATGAACTTGAGCTGACCGGCCTCCTCCTCTGCGACTGCGTCCAGCCACTTGGAGATGGTGCCGTCATCGAAAGAGATCTTGATGCGTGCGGCAACAATCCCGTCTGGCTCGAGCTTTGACTTGTACTCGGAGACGGTGCCGTCAAACCAGTCTCCCTCGCCATCGTCGAAGAAGACGGAGACGCGTTTGCCGCACGTGTCAATCATAGGCCTATGTCACCCAACCGCTGCGTACGCCCGTGCCCCCGGGGGGCGCAAAAAGAATTTATGAGTAAGCCCGCCGCTCCGCATCCGCAACGCGCCCTCATGCGGCGAGAAAGGAGAAAAACGCTCGAAGCTGCGCTTTCAGAGTTTTCAAAACTATAGCCGAAAGAAAAAGAAATATGGTGCTCCGTGTCCAGACTCTCCAGCAGCTTCTTGCTCTTCGGAAGCCCCGGACTGAGGGTACGCCAATGCTACCACGCTAGCCGTATAGCTGGGAGCGGCAGTGCACTTCTAAGAAAAATTAGATATTCTTATCTTTTTGCCCCCCTCCGAGACTAGGGACAGAACCACACCAGTATCAGACCAGAGGGACTGCGCCTCGCCCCCGCTTGCCCTGCCTGCGCAGGATAGCGTGCCCCGATAACGGCGACACTTAGCGAGGGTCACTGCGCAAGGAGGGGGTGCGAAGCCTTTTTCTTTTGTCCTCTCGGGGGCATTTTCTCTCGGCGCCCCTGGCCTATGACGGCTCCTGCTTTTCTTCTTTCTGGCGGCATGAGCGGCGCAACGAGCCCAACTCTGCTGCCCGAGCTGGCGGTGGGCGAACTGGCCTCGCTGCGCGCCTTCCTCTCCGGGCAGGGGACGCGCGGCACGTCGCTCGCGGCCCAGCTCGACGCGCGGCACGACACCGAGAAGCAGGACACGCTGCTCACCTGGGCCGCTCGTCACGGGCAGGCCGAGGCGGTGCGGCTGCTGCTCGAGGGCGGCGCGAGCGTGGGGGCGACGACTGGCGGCGGCGGCTCCGCGCTATATATCGCGTGCCAGGAGGGGCAGATTGAGTGCGCCCGGCTGCTCCTCAAGGCTGGCGCGGCGATGGACCAAGCCAAGCAGAACGGCGCCACGCCGCTGTACATCGCGTGCGAGAAGGGCCGCGTCGACATCGTCCGGCTGCTTCTCGAGGCGGGCGTGGCGGTCAGCCAAGCCCACAACAACGGCGTCACGCCGCTGTTCGTTGCGTGCGGGCAGGGCCACCTCGAGTGCGCCCGGCTGCTCCTCGACGCTAGCGCGGCGGTCGACCAAGCCTGGAACAACGGCTCCACGCCGCTGTCCATGGCGTGCGCAGAGGGCCACCTCGAGGTCGCCAAGCTCCTCTCCTCCTACGGCGCCTCCCGCGCCGCTACGCCCTTTGGCACGCCCGAGGAGGTCGCGAACCGCGCAGGCCACGCCGACCTCGCCGCCTGGCTGGTCGCCAGCCGCGGCTGGACGCCGCTCGCGCACCTTGAGACCCTCACCGCCGCCCGCGCCACCTCCCTCCTGCGCAGCGGCGCGAGCTTGCGCGAGGGCGAGCCGACGCCGCTGCAGCGCGCCGCGGGCGGCGCGGGCGAGGCGGCGGCGCTGGTCCGGCGGGCGGCGGCGCCATGGTCGCCGGCAAGCCACTCGCTCTTCCCCGCGGCGGCCCGCGCGCGGGCGGCGCTCCTCGTCCTCTCGCTCTACGAGATCCACGAGCGGTACCACCTCGACTCGGCCGGAGCCACGAACGGCATCGCGGCGCTCGACTTTGGCCACTGCGTCTTGGGCTTCGCCATCGCGCGCGAGTCGCAGTAGGGGAGTTGCAGTGGGTTCGCGCCCTCACGGCGCTGTCTTTGAGTTTGCGAGCGAGGGGGAAGAGTAGAGTGCGAGGCACGCACGACGGGACGGACACTACCGCGCGGCTCCGTCGAGCTCGTCCCTTGGCAAGCTCGAGCTGCTGGCGCTGCAATGTTGGTGCTGGCTGCGTCGCATCCCCCTCGACAACGTTGGCGGGCCGGGAAGTATGTCGGTGTGAGGCCGACCCTAGAAAAAGAAAACAAAGTCCCATCGCGGAAGAGAAGTCAACCACCACCCGCCGTGCACGGGGAGCACTTTAGCTGGTATGATCCTGGTGGCCGTCGTCGCAGCCACCGCTTACTCGGCCGCCCGCGGCGGGACGCTTGCGGAGGTGACGCAGCCGGCTTCGGCCGCAATCTGCGACAACGTGACCCAGCACTCGGGCTATTTCAAGCTGACGACCGGGAGAAAGCATTACTTCTACTGGTTCTTCGAGAGCCGGTCGGCGCCGAAGACGGACCCACTCGTGCTGTGGATGACCGGTGGGCCCGGCTGCAGCAGTGAGGTCGCGCTCTTCGGCGAGAATGGTCCTTGTTCAGTGAGCGCCGCTGGCACGGGCACGATCCGCAACAAGTACAGCTGGAACACGCGGGCCAACCTGGTGTACATCGACCAGCCCGCGGGCACGGGCTTCTCGTACGGCAGCGGCCTCGATCACGACGAGGCGGGCGTCGCGCGCGACATGTACGACTTTCTGCAGCAGCTCCTCCAGGCGCACCCCTCGTTGCAGCCGCTCGACTTTTATGTCGTGGGCGAGTCATACGCAGGGCACTACGTGCCTGCTGTTACGCACGAGGTGTGGGCAAACAACAAGGCGCTGCCGAGCGGCGCGATCCAAATCAACCTCAAGGGCCGAGTTGATCCGAGACTCGCCGATATTAGATCCGGATCCACCTCCAGAGTCACCAGAGATGAGCGGCACATCATCAGCAGGGCACGGCCATGGCCAACGGGCTATCGGCGCGACGGTCTTTGAGGCCTCCCGAACCTTCTCGGAGCCTCCCTGCAGGCACGTCCGTGGGCAACGGGCTCGTCGCTCCCGAGATTCAGTACCAGTACTACAAGGACATGGTCGTCTCGACCAACGGGTACCCTGCCCCTCCACCCCTGCCCAGCCCTTCAGACAAGTCGGACCCTTCTCGGACCCTTCTCGGACCCTTCTCGGACCCCTCTCGGACCCTTCTCCGATCTTTCTCGGACCCTTCTCGGACCCTTCTCGGACCCTTCTCGGACCCTTCTCGGACCCTTCTCGGACCCTTCTCGGACCCTTCTCGGACCCTTCTCGGACCCTTCTCGGACCCTTCTCGGACCCTTCTCGGACCCTTCTCGGACCCTTCTCGGACCCTTCTCCGACCCTTCTCGGACCCTTCTCGGACCCTTCTCGGACCCTTCTCCGACCCTTCTCCGACCCTTCTCCGACCCTTCTCGGACCCTTCTCGGACCCTTCTCGGACCCTTCTCGGACCCTTCTCGGACCCTTCTCGCCCTAGGCACAAGCCCGCCGTGGGCAACCTGACGCACGCTGCGATGCAGGCGGCCACGTCGGCCACGACTCCGCCATATCTCCGGCACATCTTCTCGGCCATCTCTCGGCCATCTCTCGGCTGTCTCTCGGCCATCTCTCGGCCATCTCTCGGCCATCTCTCGGCCATCTCTCGGCAGGCGGCCACGCCGGCGTGCATCGCAGCGATCAAGGCGTGCCAGGCCGTCGCCGCGTCGTGCTTGGTCGCGATCGAGGTGCGCTAACTGCTTTAGCTGAGCGGTGGGGGAGTGACAACTGATGATACGGCGCCATGGTCGCGGTGAGGTGTGCAACGCGGCGCTGCTACTGCCGTACCAAGCAAGCGGCATGAACGTGTACGACATGCGCGAGCCGTGCGAGAAGCCGCCGCTCTGCTACGCCCGGCTCTCCAGATGCACCCTTCTCCTCTCCTCTCTCCTGCCTAGCCTCTTGCCTTCACTCGACTGCGCCGAGGACACGGCATGGCCCGCCGCACTCCCGCCGACGTAGACGTGGGGAGATGCGAGGCGGCGCCTGGCCCTTGCCCCACCACCTCGTGTGTGTGGAGACCTCTTCCCCTCGCGGTGTCCCCCCCCCCCCCCCCCCAAACACACACACACGCCCACAGGACTTCTCCAACGTCGCCACCTACCTCGACCGCGCCGAAGTGCGTGCCGCCCTCGGCGTGGGTCAGCGCAAGTGGTCCGACTGCAACCACGTCGTCGCTCTCGGCTTCGAGCTCTCGGGCAGCTCCTCGCCACCACCGCCATCACCGCATCACCATCACACCTCCCGCCGTCGCATCACACCTCCTCACTATTCAACCACCACCACACGCCACCTCCCCACGAGCCCCACCCTCCTCTTCATCCTCATCCTCGCCCTCATTCCCCCACCCACCCCAGCAGAGCCCCCCCCCCCAAAGCGTCAGCTCTCGCCCGCCCCCCCGCTGCTCAGGCGACTGGATGCAGAGCTACGAGAAGAAGCTCCCCGACCAGCTTGGCGACGGAGTGCGCGTCCTCATCTACGCGGGGGACCAAGACTACATCTGCAACTGGCTCGGCAACCAAGCCTGGGCACAGGCCACAAGCCGCCGCCGCACCGCGCCTGTCCGCGCCGCTCCTCCCTTGTCTGCTGACACACCCCTCTCTCCCCCCAGGCCATGCCATGGCCGCACCGCGCCGACTTTGCGGCCACCAGCCCGGTGCCGTGGATGGCGGGCGGCAAGCAAGCGGGCACGCTCCAGTCGTCGCACGGCGAGATGCAGCCGAGATACAGCCGAGATGCGGCCTAGATGCGGCCGAGATGCGGCCGAGATACAGTCGAGATGCGGCCGAGATACAGTCGAGGTGCGGCCGACAGTACGCGGTCCATCTTGTCCTTCCGCCGGGGCCGCTTTGTAGTCCACCCCCCCCCCCTCCCACACTCACCCCCCCCCCCCCCACGTAGGCTTCTCCTTTCTGCGTGTGTACGACGCCGGCCACATGGCGCCGCGCGACTAGCCGGCCAGCATAATCACAGCCTGCCCCTCCCAGCGGACTGTCTTCTTTAGGTCCCTCGCGACCAGCCAGCCAACGCGCTCGCGATGCTCCATGCCTTCCTCGACGGCGAGATGTGAGGGCCAGACGCACCGGCGCGGCGGGTCGGCGTAAGACACGTAGTTCGGCGATGATTGCGAGGATCCGCGAGCAAATACGGGGTTTCTCGCTCCCGCTTTTTGTTGTCTTTTCGTTAATCCAGATTGTCAGAAATGAACAGATATTTATCTCAATGCTCAAAGTAAAATAAGTATTGCAAAGCCGTACTCAAAAAGAGATTTAGAGAGAGATCACCGCTCCTGCCGCGTGTGGCCTGTGCCAGCTACGACTCTGACTAAACTCTTACGGGCTCTCTACCCTCTAGAGAGGCCCGGTACTGTGGTGTGCCATTCGGTTTTCCACAGTGATGTGACCTAAGTATCGCGTCCGGTCGAGCGAGAGCGGTCGAGCGAGAGCGGACCGCGGGCCGGCGGGGACGGTGCCGGCACGGAGGTACCTTAAGGTACACACTCTCTAGACTCTACTGACGGTTGCCTATCGGAAGAGGTCTGCGTAGGGGATCAGGTCCGCCTCGCCAAAGTTCTTGAGGTTGGGCATCACGCTGTTTAGCTGGCTCTCGTCGACGCCGACCCACAGCGCGACGCCCTTCCAGATCGCCTCCCATGGCGAGGTTGGCAGCATGGGCGCATTGCCCGAAATGGACTGCGGCCCGTCGACCCTGAGCTCTGGGAATTGGCCCCGAATGTTGCCGCCGTTGACGCCCCCGCCCATGAGGAAATGGTTGCTGCCCCACGCGTGGTCGGTGCCGGCGCCGTTCGTCGTTATGGTCCTCACTGCGAGAGGTGAAGGCCGTTTCGGCGCTGAAGCTCGCCGATGAATATGTCGTCTGGAATGCATGTGGCATTGCTGCCGTCGAGTTTTGTGTCGAGCCACCGCCCCGCGTAAGGCTGCGCAGTTGAGACGTAGCGGATGGACTCGCGTAGACGTATTTTGGTGTCGCCTGGCTGCCAGTTGGCTGCCGTGTAGTCGTCGAGGGCGCGCCACTCCTTCTGCAGATCGAACCAGTTCCAGATAGTCTCGATGGCAGCAAGCGCCCGCGCGTACGGGCTTCCTGATTTGCAAGTGCCATCGATGACTGACTCCGGAGTTGGAAGAGACTCAGAAGTGGGGAGGCTGACGCCCTTGGGGTAGAACTCAGAGATCTTGCCGCCGCGCAAGGTGTAGTAGATGTTGTCGTCGCGCGCGGCTCGGATGGAGGCCACCTCGTCTCGCCTCGAGAGCGCGGCTCTGTACGAGTTGACGGCGGCGTCTCGTGCACCGTACCCGCCGGAGCGCTCGGCTTCGGCGAGGTCCGGGCTGCAGGCCACAAGCTTTGACCAGCATTTGAGGAGGGAGATGTAGTAGGCCTCGGCGGGGCCGCGCACGCCCGTGCGGCCCCCACCCGTGTCGTTGGGCACGCCGACTGATGTGACGCCCGTGTCGACGCCGGAGCCTCCCGTGATGGTAGGGAGCATGGCCTGCCTCTCTCTTAGTGTATGTAGCTCTTACGTACATTCCCTCCCGGAGGAGGACTGCTGATTTGTTGGTAGAATTTCACAGAAGTTTACAACAAAGCTCCCTCGCACGACACTGGGCACGGGACTGGCGTGCACTGGCACTGACACAGGTACAACACGGGAGCACCTAAGCGACTCCCAGCCCCACCCTTTTGAGGCAGGAGGGTGTGACGACTACCCCGCACGCCTGCCGCTTCTACCCCGACGCCGACCGCCGCGCCCCAAAATTCTTTTCTCCGCTTGCCAACTCCTCCGCCTCTCATGCTCCGCACGCGTCGCCAGAAGGCGCTGGCGCCCTGCGAAGATGTTTTCAGCACGCTTCCCAGCGAGCTCTCGGAGCGTGTCATCGCTGGCATGCCGCCTGACTCGCTCGCGAGGCTGGCGCTCACCTCCAAGGCTCTGTCTTCGCTCGTTGCAGTGCGGGTGATCGACAAGGAGGTCTGGTCGGCACCGATCGAACTGCTCCAAGATGCAAGCGAGCTCAAGCATGCGGTGCGGTCCGTCTTTTTCGCGCGCGCGCGCTTGAACAAAGACGCCGAGGACAAGGACAAGGCGCACCAAATGGGCGTCGCCCTCCTCGCCCGCCTCAAAACCATGTGCTCTTCGCGCGAAGCTGTTGTTGTTCAGCTGGAGGAGGCCGTGCGCGACCAGAATGGGGAAGGGCTCAGGCACGGCAGCGGGCTCTTTTCCTGCTATCCGCACAGCGGAATCACAAACCAAGTCACAAACCTTCTCAAAAAGCAGCGGAAGCAGTGCGTCGTGGCGTGCAGTCTTGCGATGAAGCCCGATGCTTTCTTGGCCTTTGCCTCCAAGGTGACTGAGTCGCAGAACTGGGACGAGGAGCAGCGGCGGCGCACGTGGAGCGACACCTTCAGCTCGGCCATCCGCTCAAACGTCCACCGGCTCGACTGGACGCCGCATCTCGTGGTTGACCTCGCCGAGCGCTCTCCGGCATACAAGGACAAGCCTGACGTCGAGTCTCTGACCTTGCTGCTCGACGCCATCCCGCTCTCGCTGACTGCGCTCAAGGCGTGCCTGCGCGATGCCGATCTGCCGGTTGAGGCGGCTGCTGCCGCCCTCGTCTCGCACATCAACAAGATTTGGAGCGACCAGCACGATGACGACGAGTGGGAGTACGAGTATGAGGACGACTTCGAGCAGGAGCAGTGCTTCAAGGATCTCGCGCAGCTCTTCCTCACGGTGACGCGCCAGCTCGCACCGCCGGTCGCGGTCATCCTGCTGCTCGTGCGCAAGCTCATCAAGGAGGACAGGGAGCGCCACGAAGAAATCGACTACAACAACAACGACAATGAGTACCACACCACGTACGCGCGCTTCGTCGCCACGCGCACCTTCCTTGCCGGCTGGGCCGCCTTCATGGACTTCACGCGCCTCTCAGGCCACGAGACGGAGGCACTTGCCGCCGGCCTCGCCTCCTTCAAGAACAGCGAGGTCAAGGCGTGCTTTGTGCCGATTGCGCTCGGGTGGATTATGGCGCTCGTGCAGCCCCTCAAGCAGCCTGGCCGCCGGTCCAACCAGCAGGACGCCGAGCTCGCCGCGACCGTCGAGCGGGTCTGCCGGACGATGCTCGCCTGAAGCGCGCGGACGCGTGACGGCAGGGCATCTCCCAGCTCACAGCGAGTTCCACACACTGAAGACGGCTCTGGCGGCATGTGTCACGTCTTTGAGCATCACATGTTGTCAGTGCACGTGGACTCCCCCCCCCCCCCCCCTCCTTTGTTTTCCCGGCGCAGCAATCTTTCAGAAAAGAAAAGGACCGCCGGCTGTCTGTCGAGCGGATTGTTTTAACTCCGTCAGGGGCACGGGACGCGGCACAAACCACAGGACGGGCAGAGACGAGTGAGCCTTCCCATTTTTTTTCCAAATCTGCGAGCCAATTCGTCCGTCCACGCACGTCCACCGGGGTTCTGGCGGGCAATGTTTACATGCGGTCTGCAGCGCGAATTGCCACCGCCCTCGCGCTCTGCTTGCTAGCGTCCGCGCAAGACACGGCGACGCACTCGGCAACAAACGCCGCTTACAAGTACCTGGCGGCGGCCCAGACGGCGCAGCAAGCGACGGAGCAGAGGTTTGCCAGGTTGATGCCGTCGCATTCTTCACACACGCACGCGAGTCTTCGGCTGGCCGCAGCGGAGGCGTCGCTGCAGCTAAATCACGCACAGCACGAGAGTCTTGTGGCTGCTGCCTCGGAGGCCGCCGGCGAACTCAACTACCAGGCGTCAGGCTCCCGCACCTTCTCAATGCGTGTGCCTGCAATGCTGATGTACGCCCCAATCGCTCAGGAGCTCGCGGCGATCCAGCAGCGCAGCCTCGCGCAGATGAAGCAGCAGTCAAGGCTGGAGGCTCTCGAGCTGGCGAGGGATACCTTCGAGCACGAGGCCGATCAGCTCTACGCCCCGCTGTTCCCATCTACAACGAGCGATGACCAAGGCGGCGGCGGTGATGCGCTCAGGCGCCTACTTACTCACAGAGATGTCAGTCTGCGAGGAGCTTGAACATTGTCAGGCCCTGGCTAGATCTGAGCTAGATGTCTCGGCCAGACCTCCTAAAGTGGGCACATCCCGGCTAGATCTCGGCGGTGTCTTGTCGCGCCATGTAGTGCATCGTCCCCACCCACGAAGTGCACTTCGAGAGGGTGCAGCTCAGTTCGCCCGAGACGCCAAAGTCGGCAATCTTGACGTTACCCGCTGCGTCGACGAGCAGGTTAGAGGGCTTGATGTCGCGGTGGATGGTGCGCCGCTCCTTGTGCAGGTAGACGAGTCCATGCAGCACCGCCCGGGAGATCGCGCAAAGTGCCGCCTCAGCAAGCGGCGAGCCCGTCGCGCGCTATGGGCCACGTCGATTTTCAGGGAGTGCTGTATTGTGGCTGTGCGGGCACCGGGGAGGCGCAGGGGGTGCTGTGGATGGCTTTGCGGGCGCAGTAGGAAGGAGCAGCGTCTTGGGCCTTCTCGGCCAACCTGCAGCTCGAGCAGTGTAGCGTCCATGTACTCGAGCGCGAGGTGGACGGCGCCGTCGCGGTGGAAGGCGCCGTAGAAGGAGACAATGGAGGGGTGACGCGACTCGTGCAGCGTCTTGAGCTCGAGCAGGATCGCCCGCCGCGCCGCCTCGTCCGCCGACACTGGGATCACCTTGAGCGCGAGCACCGAGCTGGTCGGAAGGTGTAGCACCTGAGGCAGTGGCGGTGAGAAATGCGGTGGTGAGAACGGCGGCGGTGAGGGCGAGCGCGATGCCAAGAGCGCGGCGGGGCGTGGCGAAGCGACGGCGACAGGCGGGCGGTAAGATATGTCTGGAGGCGGCCGGGCGCCTTCTGCACCACGCCCGATGAGCCGTGGCCGATGGGCTCGAGGAGTCGGAGGTCGTCATACTGCACCTCTGAGTGCGCAAGTGCCTCACTCAGCCGCTCGAAGTCGCGCTGCCTCGCCGCTGCCTTGACTGCTGCCTTTGCTTCCGCGCTGGCCGCCGCCGCCGCTGCGGCCACTGCAGCGGTGCCAAAGCCGCCGCTGAGTGACGAGGTGCTCGCCTCTGAGCTGGCTGCGAGCGGGATCCCCGTTGTGGGCGACACCGGCGACGGGATGGAGATTGGCTGGATCTTGAATTGGCTCATGCGCAAGTCGGCGTTTGGCGTTGGTCGGACCCCGGGCCGAACGTTTCGGAGGTTCCTTCTACAGTAAGTAAAAGCGGTCGCGAGCCCCTTCGGTCACTTCTCCAAACCCTGTCAGCAGTCCTCCTCCCGATTCTACGTACACTGGAACAATAGTTAGAGGCTGCGCAGGCCGTCCCGTTTGCATGTTTGCATAAAAACGCCCCGCGCGCTGCGCGCTGCGCGCGCCGGGGCTCTGTCTCACTCACGTGCCGCAATATGTGTCACACACGGCGGCTTCTGGCACCCCTCGATCCTTCCACTTCTACGCACACCCACTGGGGAAGGGGCGCTTGGGAGCGGGGGCGGGGGCGGTGGGCGGGGGCGCGCCGCGGAGGGTAGGGGTAGGGGTGGGGAAGACGGCGAGGAGGGGGGGGCGGCGGCAGCGGCGGCAGCCGCGCGCGACGAGGGCAGAGCAGCAACAATTCCTGGCAATTCCTGGTGCTTGAAAGGAGGAAAAGAAAGAAAACAATCTGCGGACGATCGATGGCGACCCAACACGCCAGCCTCAAGCGGCTGCGCCCGCCGCTCTCCGGTTTCATCGTCGACGGCTTCAACTTTTGCGAGGCCGACGTGCGGCACTACCTGCTAACGCATGCGCACAGCGACCACACCTGCGGCCTGCACGCGTCCTTTGACCTCGGGACCGTCTACTGCTCCTCGGTCACCGCGCGAGTGCTGCGCGCCACGATTGGGTTGCCGGAGAAGCGGATCACCACCATCGACGTTGGCCAGTCGATCGAGGTCGAGGGCGTCCAGATCACCGCCCTCGACGCCGGCCACTGCCCCGGCTCGCTCATGTTCCTGCTCGAGCACCTCGCCACTGGCCACACCGCGCTGCACACCGGAGATATGCGCGCCTCGCAGCCCATCCGCGAGGCGGTCTGCGCAGCCTTGCTGCGCCGCGGCCTGCTCCGCCTCTGCCACCGCTGCAACCACTCGCCCTCTCCCACCACCTCCGCCATCGCCGCCACCGCCGCCGCCACCGCTGCCGCCGAGACCACCGACGCCGCCGCCTGCCCTTCGCCCCTTGCGGTGGACGTCCTCTATCTCGACACGACCTACTCCTCGCCGCGCTGGCGCTTCCCACCGCAGCCAGACGCGCTGCGATGTCTCGCCGCCGTCACAGCCGCCGAGTTGCGCCGCGAGCCGCGCACGCTGTTCGTCGTCGGCTCGTACCAGGTTAGGGTTGGGGTTAGGGTTAGGGTTAGGGTTGGGGTTAGGGTTAGGGCTAGCCGCGCACGCTGTTCATCGTCGGCTCGTACCAGGTTGGCAAGGAGAAGGCAATCGCCGCGGTCGCGCGCGCAGCGGGCGGCCGCGCGCTGCTCTCCGAGCGCCGCGCGCTCTCGCTGAAGCTCTGCGGCTTGTGGGACGCCGAGCTGCACACCGTGGATGCCGCCGACCCGCAGGAGAGCAGTGGAGAGCAAGTATCTCTCGAGGGTACCCCGAGAGGAGCCGAGAGGAGCCGAGAGGAGCCGAGAGGAGCCGATTTTAACCCCCGAGAGGCCCTGAGAGGCCCTGAGAGGCCCCGAGAATACCCGAGAGGCCCCGAGAGGAGCCGCCGACCGCAGGGCGCGTCTAGCAGGCGGTGGGACGCGGTGATGTTGCCCTCACAGTAACAGTACACCGCCGGCCCGTAGGTACGCGTGCACGTGATGCCACTCTCCGCGGGCGTGGAGGCGCACGAGGCGATGGGTGCGCTGCTCCAGAGGCACGGCGAGCGCTACGCCGCCGTGGTGACGTTTCGGCCGACGGGGTGGGCGTACTCCAAGTCGGATGAGGCGGGGTCTTCCCTAGACGCGGAATATCTCCCCATACCTCCCCGCATCTCCCCATCTCTCGAGCCCTAGAAGCGGAGTACGTATTCATGTCTTCCAACCCGCGCTCGGGCGGGCACGCACTCCGCCGTATTCGGACCATCTCCCGCGGTCTTCGCTGCACTCGCAGCCGCCTCGTCTTCACGCGGTGCACTGAAGAAACCGCACACCACCGCCCTTCCCGCCCTGAGGTTGGCGCATCCAGCGGCGTAGGCGGGTCTCCCCAAGCCGTGGGTCGAGGGGGCGGGCAGCACGCGCATGTACGGAGTGCCGTACTCTGAGCACTCTTCGTGGGAGGAGCTGCAGGCCTACACAGACACTGCTCATGGAGTAATGCAGTGGGAATGATCACTCGTCGTAATAGCATCATTGCAACCATGACTCGCCGTGGGCGGAGCTGCAGGCCTTCGTCGCGGCGCTGCGGCCGCGCGCCCTCGTGCCGACTGTCAACGCCGCCACCGCACGGGACAGGGAGAGGCTGCAGGCGGCGTACGCGCACGCGATGGACCTGGCCGCAGACAAGGGCCGCCTCGACTGGCACTTTCGGCGGCGCCCATCCTCCGCGGTTGGCGCCTCCAGCTCCAGCGACATCGGAGGCGGCGGAGGCACTGGCGGCGGCGGCGGCGGCGGCGGCGGTAGTGGTGGTGGCGGCGGCGGCGGCAGTGGCGGTGGCGGCGGCGGCGGCGGCAGGGATGCGCCGGAGAGCAGGGATGTCCTCTCTTCGGTAGACCTCTCCACGGTAGACGTTGGCGAGCAGCGGCGGCGGTGGAGGCAGTTCGCAGCTCGCCTCTAGCTGTGAACAGCGTCTCTTCACACCTCCCACTGTGAATAGGTGGAGGCAGTTCGCGCGGTCTCGCCCGCAGCGGCACGGCGGAGGGGCGGGCGGCGCGGCGGAGGAGGGCGGCGGCGCGGGTTGGCCGCGAACGGGCGTGGGGGGGGCGGCGGAGGCGGCGGAGGCGGCGGCGCTGGCGGCGCTGCGCGAGGTGCTAGGCCCTAGCGCGCCGGCGGAGTACGCGGCGGCGTTGCTGCGCGACGCGGGCGGCGACGCAGAGGCGGCGGCGGCGTTTCTCCCCCCCCGCCCCGCGGCGCGGTCTCGGCCCCCCTCGGCTTAGCTCGGGGGCATGCCCCTTCCT